GGGTACCAGGCATCGTGGGGCATCTCCTATGAGCTAGGCACTGCTTTCATAGGTTAGGAAACTGAATCCCAGGTCGCACACCCCAGAATTCTGAAGCCAGCCTCACTGAGAGGGCACGCCTTGGTGTGTGTGGTGCCAGTGATGAAATGCAGGGTAGCCTGCACATGCCAAGCATGAAACCTCCCGCTGAGCTCCACCCAGACCCCAGGCCAACCACGCTAGAGGGCGCTCTTCTCCATCCTCTAGGCCAGTGGTTCTCAACCTTCCAAATGCTGTGACCCTTTAATACAGTTCCTCATGCTGTGGTGACCCCACCCTCCGACCAAGCGTAAATTTTCATTGCTACTTCATGAATGTAATTTTGCTACTGTTATGAATTGTAATGTAAATATTTTTGGAAATAGAGGTTTGCCAAAGGAGTCTTGACTGACAGCTGGTTGAGAACTGCTGCTCTCGGCAGAATGTCAGGCAGCCTCTTCCTCAAAACTGTGCACTGGGCCGCTCACTTCTCTTAAGCCTCAGTTTCCCTATCTGTAACGGCAGCTGCTCTAAGGGCCTGTGAGTCCGTAGGTGATCACCTCACTCTCTCACTGAGGAAAGGAATCGCTGGGTACAAAGCCGCATCGCCCCAGGGAGGGTGCAGGGGCCACTAGGCAGGGGTGAGGGGGGTGTGTGTGTGGGGGAGTGTGTGTAAGGGGGTAAATGTGGGGGGAGGAATGTGTGAGCAGGGGAGTGTGGGAGTGTGTGGGTGGGAAGTATGTGGGTGGGGGAGTGAGGGGGAGGAATGTGCGGGTTGGGGGGGAGTGTGTGGGGGCAGTGTGGCGGGGAGATACTTTCTCTTTGCCAGCTTCTAGAGGGCTTTGTAACCCAAGTCCAGCTGGGCTCACTGTTTCTCTCAGCTCCCGGCCCTGATCCCTAGCCTGGCCACAGGATGCTTCACAGGGATGGTTCCCTACCTTATGAGCTGGGGTGAACAGCTCTAGTTGTCTGGCTCTGGGTGCCCAGGCTAGACGCATCTCTACCCCTGTGGCTCTGAAGCTGACTGGCTTCCAAATTCCAGAAGGCAGTCAGCCCCCTGCCCTGTGTGGCCCTCTGTGATCACCCTCCTGGGCTGCTTAACTCCAGCATTCTCTGGTCCTGGACAAGGTGCCTGCTTGGGTCAGTGACTCTGGGGATGGCCTACTCCCCACACTCCCTACATATGAACAGAGGAACCTCCATCCTCTCTGGATCCTCCCCCAAAGCTGCAAATTCATACCACGCTGTGAGCACACTAAAGCAGAGGAAGGAAATAAATAAAACACATCTTAAGTGTACATGTACCTAGCTCACAGGAAGCCTGCCCTGGAGGCGAGTTTAGCCTCAGGTCTGAGGGCAGTGGAAGGGTGGTGGGCAAGGACTTAAGGACCCTGAGAGTGGCCTCCCCAAGCCTCAGAGCTCCCCCAGGATCATCTCATTTGGTAAAGATATCAAGGTGTCCCTAGAAAAGTGTGTGTGTGTGTGTGTGTGTGTGTGTGTGTGTGTGTGTGTGTGTGTGTGTGTACTGGGGGAGGGGGTGAACCCAGGACCTTAGTTAGGCATGCTAGGAAAGAGCTCTAACCCTGAGCAACACTCCAAGCCCAAGCCATGCTTTAAATGGGATGGGGAGGAATGGCAAAGGGCTACCTCTGCTCTACTTTGCCCTATGGGTACTTACTTTCTAACACACACACACACACACACACACACACACACACACACACACACACACATACACCCCGCGCGCTGGCCATGAACTCAGGAAAACTTGGTCTTGAGAGGGCCTGTGGGTTCCACAAGTGAAGTTTGGTGGCCTTATACCTGGAAGATGGCACCCTGGGTTGAGGCGGGGTGGTGGTGGTGGTGGGGGGTGGTAGTACCAGTGTGTAGAGTGATTTGCCTGAACAAAGCCCAGCGACACTGGCAAAGCTGGGGCCCGGACTTCCGATCCTTGAATGAGTCAAACACTCTGAAGGACACAGGGCAAGGGCTGCAGCCGCCTGGCTGGCTATGCAGCCACCAGCAAGCTGCTACGTGAACACCCCCCCTCCCCCGCCTGACTTATCAATCCCCAAGGGCTCTGCTCACTTGAGGCCACGGTGGACTTGCTAGAAACTCAAAGAGTAAATCAAGCAGGTGTAGAAAGAGACAGTCATTTTGCTCATTGGCTCCAGGCCTATTGGAACAACCCGGCAAGGTTACTCAAGCTTAGAGGTGTGCTTTCAGGACAGTGGGTGGGAGAGCCCTTTTCACACACTATAAAGCACCTTGGTTAGTTCCTGTGGTGCCAGACCTGCCCTGTAAGAGAAGGAATGGAAAGAAAACTGAAGATCTAGAATGAACCTGGCTGTGGCTCCATGCTCACACCCACAACTCCTAAGAACTCAGTTTTGTGGAGACATGTCTGCTGCAAACTGATGTGCCTCGGTGATAGTGAGCGGGCAGGCTGTACCCGTGAGCCCACATGGCCCTGCTCTACTCAGGGATCGTATCTCTGAGTAGAAAGAACCTTTTCTCTTTGGAGTTCCAGAGTCCTGGTCCTGCCATCCCACAGCCACCAGCCTAATTAGGAACCATCTCTTTAATTGCAAATAAATACCAGGGGGAGTCAGACCAGACCAACATCAAAGATGACCGAGGTCTGACCGAAACTCCCGCTCACTCCCATTTCCCCCCTCTGAGTCCCTGGCCTGCTCAGGGCCTGGCCTAGTTCCCAGCCAGCTATGGGTCCCGCTGGGAGGGGTGGACACGGGAGGAGGAGGAGGAATGCTAGGAGCCCAGCTTTCTAGCTGTATCCTTTCTCAGCCTCAGTCTGCCTCTCTGACTAACAAGGAAGTAATTTCCATGCTGGGCTCTACATTTCTACTCCCAGCAAGCTCCAGGTCAGTCCCTTGCCTGGAGTCCTGCTCAGCCATGTACGACAGGGGGATGGTGCAGCCCTTTCAGGAACACCGGTCAGCAATGAAAGGAACCAAACACAAACACGAAATAGCATGGATGGCCCTCAAGTGCACCTGCTTGGTCAAGGAAGTCACACACAGAAAACCCACGGAAGTCCAGAGACCGGAAGTTCTTAGTAGGCAGAACAGCTGATAGGAAATACAACAGGCAAAGCTGGGCTTGTCTACATGACCGAAGCCCCAGGTTCCAACCCCCACACTGCAATAAATAAATAAAAAATAAAAATAAAGGAGAAAGAAAAAAAAATGAGGGGTGGGTCAGGATAGTTGACGGCCTGGGGAGTTGGGTGAGCAGGAAGAGGCTGAGAAGGATAGGAACTGGGGTACAGACACTGTGAAGGGTCATGACCCAAACACAAGGCTAAGAAGGCTTTTGTTGTAGTTATGACATCTAGGGTGGTCTGAGCAGGTCCCCAGGTGAGCCAGGGGACGGCCCCCTGCTGTCTCCCAGAGGCACCCACATTCCTGCCACC